TAATGAAGTTAGTAGAGTGTCTATTTCATTCTTATAAAGAAGATAATCTTACATTGATTAGAATTAGTTATTAAAAATTTTTTGAAAAGAAAGAAAATCGTTGTTGTTGAAAAGAAGGTTAAAAAAATGGTTAAAAAACTATCTATAAATTCCATAAAAACATCCATAAATTAAAAAATTTTGTATTTAATCGTCAGAATTCTTTCCTAAACTTATCAGGCACACTAGAACTCTTTGGGGAAGAACTATATAATTAAATCAAAATTTTGACAATAGAGTGCCAACTTCACAGAGATTATGGATATAATCAAAATTTGTCCAGAAGAATGTAATATAAAAATATTTGCAGATGATACGCTAATATATATAAAACTGGAAAAAGTAAAAGTTAGCAAAATAAATGACATTTAGAGTAGTAGAAGAATGAAGGCAAGTAAATTAAAATTAAATGCAGAAAAAATGAAATATAGGGTAACTAACTCCGGTATACGCCGTACTTATCAAAAACTTAATTTATTATTTAAAACTTAATTTAAATATTATTTACTGTTTCAAGTAATTTAATATTTCAAGTAAACAAACTATATCAATAAAAACTTTGTACTGTCTACTATAATGAAAAAAATATTAAAAATCCGAAATATTTATATTTCGTATTAAAAAATGAACTTTTTTAAACTCTTGCATTTTGCTGTATATCCCATAGGGATGAGATATATGGCTACTCATAAGGGGAGGGGAGGTATGTATGGTTCATGAAAAATTTACAAATAATGTATATAAATGAGACATAAAATGACACAATAACTTATAAAATACATATATAAAGTTTTATTAAGGAATAAGAATGATAAATATGTTACATGAAGTAATAAATAATAATTATAATCTTCCCACATGTTACAAGTGTTATGACATGAGATATATTTCATATTTCATGTAATGCATCTATTGCATTTAGTGCATTGAATTCAATTTACACACTTTGTATACTTTGGGCATAAATCCCGCTCACTAAAAACACCTTCTATTCCAAACAGATGAGATATACAAGACAACAAACTAAACAAAAAATACAAGAGCAAAGTATTTGTATTTTGTTATACAATATACTTTACTATTCCTCTACACTCATGTATCGCGAAATAAGTCTTTTGTACGTCTTACAGCAATCATTTTACAATTCATGATGGCGCTACTTAACACAGTGACAAATCGATTCAACTCCCAATAATTTCATTAATATTAACAAGAAGCTAAAATTATAACACAATACTAATATAACATAAAGGCATGTAACAGAGTAGTTGCGGGAAAATTATCCCCACTCCTTCTATTTTTTCTGATTTCTGTGGCATATTTACTGGAGTTATCCTATATATGATAATCAGAAGTATAAGGAAAGAACTAAGTGAAAATATTATATTAAAATGTTTAGATGAAATTGAAATAAAACAGATAGAAATAATGAAGTACCTAGGAATAATTGTTGATGATAAACTTCGGTTTAAAGATCACTGTGATTACAAGCTAAAAATAATAAGGAAAACAAGTTTTTTAAAAATAGAATAGGTAATTTTATATCGACTTATATATATTAAATGTATTGTACATAAGATAATCATAGCACTCTACTGTGATGCTGCAGTTGATTGATATAGGAGAAATACAGCTGAGCAAATCGCAGAAAGCGCAAAACCGAACTATAAGTCATATTGCAATGTAACAGATATATCAAAGTGGAATATGCTACAAGCATTGCAGTTTATATCTATAAAAGAAATTTATGTCTATAAAAGAAATTTTATAGAAGCTATATTATAATGTGTGTACTTTTAAAAAACATGTTTCTAAAGACATGTTGCTGGAGCAATTATAAGAAATAAGTTAAAAATTGTGAGGAAATAAAAGTGAAAGATAAACATGATAGACCAGAAATATTGCAATAAAATTTCACAGAACAAGAAATGCGCAAAAGAGGATGTTTTATGAAGAAATAAAAATATAAAGCTTTAATAAAAAATTAAAATAATGTGAGATTTGAACCGTTTAAGTTAATGTTAAGAGAATATATAATATTTAATATTACTTAGAGAGAGATTTAAGGTTATTTATAAAAAATGTATTTGAAATAGCTGAATAAAGAGTCAATCATTCATTCATACATTCCCTCCCCCCATCCTCTCTCTCTCTCTTTCACATGCCTATTATACACATTATTATTTTTTCATACATTTTTTCTACGTGTAATCAATAAAATTAATCACATATTAATTCGTTATTCAAACTAGCAATGACATCGATAACAATGTTATGATTGGCTAATCGTAATAATTTATATTTCACAATAAAAAAATTAGCTTGTATAAATTTTGACGAATTCATTTTTTATGCAATTAGACTTTGAAAATATATTCTAAGCATTGTACAAAATTTCTTTATACTATCTTGTACAATAATCGTGATATCTTATTTTTCTTGCTTCGTGCATTATTAAAAAAAATTTTTCTCTTTTTCTATTGACTCAAATATTTTATAATCTGTAATAAAAAAACAATTTAAAAATACTATATATGAAAGTTTCACACCCCAATAATTGCACTTTAACAGTTATGACTGCAGAATAAAAAATATAGAAATTACTTTCGCACAAACGTAAAGTTCAAATTTAAGAACTCATCAAAATATGATGACATTTCTATAAGACACGTTCTCATATACTCAGTTAAACTGATAACAATTTCCGGACTCATTCGTATCCATGACCGATATGCTACACAAAGAAAGATCGCATAAAAGTATTCGCGAAAACGCAGTGCACCGTGATCGGTACGGTCAAACGATGAGAATAAAATGCCGATGATAACGCCGAGCCGTTATAGTCAATATGTAATGACACATTGCTTTTCAAACGAAAGAATCGTTTACACATGTCGTTGTTGTACACTCCAGCAACGAAACAGTCGTAAAATAATTGTCATCACCAACGACGACAACGATGATGACGAAAATAGTAGCAAGAAAGTGATGTGCATAGTCGTGAACATTCGAAATCGAATGACGCGCCGATCTTTCATGAAGCCCACTGTCATGCCAATGGAATGCACGCATTATGGTAGCAACGAGTCGAATGCGAGCCAATGTTGAATGTTGGTTTAGTGTGTCGTCCCATAAATATGGAATCGAAAAGATAGAATGGTGGAGGAACCAATCAGCATCGTTCCGTTCCGATTTTAGATAGCCTAGTTTTCCATCAAGCATATTTTTCAGAAACGGAAGGACATTCCAATCTTATAATGAAAATAGTATATCTATTTTATTTATAAATAATTTTTCATTCATGAAATGTTAATATGTCCATGCGAAGATATTCAATGTATTTTTGTAATGTATATCAACACGTTGCATTTCTCTTATTAGATTATCACTCCCTGCAAGCATCTTCATTCTATAAATATCATATCCAAAATGATCCTGGTTTTCTCTTCTTATCATTATTTTATAAATATCGAAAATTTTCAGTAGCTTTTCTTCTTTGATACTTTCTTTGCTGAGGTAACTGTGGAGTACTTAACTATTTAATTATTATTTTCATAACAAATACAAAATATTTAACATGTAACATGTGACAAAATGTAACGTACCATTTTTATTGTAAGGCTAAAATGTCATTCCATTTCTGAAAAATATGTTCCATGGGGAATCAGGCTACTTAAAATCGGAACAGAACGATGATTGATTGATTGCCCCATGATTCCAATTTCCAATTCCATTTTCCGTACCCATGGGATGGCAATTAGCTATACGAGCGATACACTGCCACGTGACTATGCGTTTTAAATCACAACGCGCGCGCGTGGCAGTAACGAGACGAGGAAACCTTTCCCACTACTGTCGCTCGCACCTATCGACGATATGACGTCACAACCAGCTGACTGCGCTCTAGTGCCGGCTTACTGCCACACGCGTTATGTCTCGTTTCTGGCCGCTCTACTTTGTATTTCAATTTCGTTCCAAGAATATCTATAAACATTTATTCCAAGGGGAAATTGGCATTTCCCTCGTTTCTATTAAATTACTCCTGAAGAAGTGGATGCGATGATCAAAATTATCACATCATGATACTTTTATTATTTAGATTTTATTCAGAAATAAGAAACAGGGATTATAATTTATCGATATAATTTTCTATAGAATATCCGATTTTAAATGATCATCCCTCAAAATTTTATTTATTTCAAATTTTAGAAAAAAATATTTCAGACAAAAGTTAGAGACAATATAATAAAACTAATTTTCAAAAAAATCAATTTTTTAAAGTCATATAAAGATCACCATTAAAAAAAAATGGATTATATGTGATTTATTTCTTTACAACATGTTCGTTTAATTATTCTGTATATAAAATTTATGTAAAGTTGTAAAAAAATCAATAGTTTAAGAAACACTTTATTTTGAATGAAATTAAAAAAAAATATCTCGTGAACTACATGATTTCTCGTAGACTATTTTGATTTTTCACGCGCGATAATTCTATTTCAATATTTTTATAAGGAGATTAACTAAAGGAATTATATTATATAAAAAAATCAGATAATTCTATTTTAAAAAAAATGAAAATAATGTAAGAGTTATTAAAAGTTTTTTTTTTTCGAAAATTAATCTTATTATTACTGGTCTCACTTCAGACTTTCTGTCTAAAAAATTTCTAAGACTTTAGGTTTTAAGATATTTAAAGGAATAAATATAAATGAGCCACCCTATATATAACATTAAAAAATTCTCGACTTTTTTAAATATTGTTGATCAATGATGTTAAGCAATATTGTTGAACAAATAACTAATAATATATTTAATTTAATAATCGTTCATATATAAACTCGTATAATTAAATCTATTTGCATTAGACATGGAGTAACTTAATTTTTATTGGATATTACACATCTGCTTCAAGATTCACATTTTATCATTTCGATTATTATGTATAATGGAGTACTTACCGGAATCAAAGTCAGCACCTCCAGCATCCAATCCACCTGGATTCCCATATTCTAGTAAAACAAATAACGCGATTAATTAACAAACAAGAAGTAGAAATTTTTTAAATGAATTTAGACTAACAATTAATGAAAATTCATACGAGAATTTAAAAAAATTTAACTACTAACAAAATTAACAAAATTTCATTTTTCATCAAATAAGTAAATAAAAATTCTTTTTCTCTGTTATGACAATTCGAGTTTATTAATTACTTGTTTTAATTAAAATACGTTTAATATAATAATGTATACACCTGTTAAATTTATGGTATCAAATTTAATCTAATTTAAAGTCGCCATTGCTCCTACTCAATATATCATTATTTTATATTAAAACAATTAAATTTTGAAATTATATAGTGTCAATTTCACATTATATAGAGTCAAACTGACACTATATAATATCAAATTTAACCGTTGTTTTAGCATAAAATAACGATATATAGAGTAGGAACAGTGGGAACTAATTAGATTAAATTTGACACTATAGATTTAACAGTG